AGGTTAGCGTATGAAGAATATGCTTTCTTCTGTCTGTTGAGGCATTTGAAGTATATACTTATTGCTTTCATCATTATGTTCTGAATCGTCTTGTCATCTCTCATCTGGATAAAGCTGCAACCTGCAGCATGGTCTCCTGGCCTGCAATCGCTCATCAGCTTCATCTGTTCTTTATTTTGCTCCAGTAATTTTTTTTGAAAACACACGTCTGTTCTTGTCACGCTCTGGCTTAAAAACCATCAACGGTCTGCATTGTGTCCTTCCTTTCCTTTACTCATGCTCTTTCCTCTGAGCTGCTGTTCTGGCCTTTGGTACTAGTGAACTTGCGATGCCCTTGAAATCCCAGTTCAAATGTCTTCTGTGAAGCCTCTGTCAACTTTTATCAAGCAAAGTTCATTGTTCCTCCTTTTGCATTCCAGTAGCCCTTTCTAAATTTCTCTAAATTCACCTGGCACAACAGCTGAATAGTTGAGTGAATAAAACCATGAAAGAATGAGCAAATCAGCTCTTTGACTGGTATTGTGTATTCCTAGTATATTTGTACCTAATGTATAGTTAGATTTGAACTCGAGGTGCATGTATCCTGCATTTATCATGTGTTGTAATTCAGGTAATTGCTGCTCATTATAAGAAGCACTTTTGTACTTTACCCATCCCCCTAAACAGGCTTTGGAGAATATTTCTTATTTATCTGCTACCTTTATTTGTTACCAATACCACATGCATTTTACACTCATGACTGCATCATCTGTATGCCTTCAAGTTGACTGGGTCTCTGTTTAGATTTTCTATGTATGAGTCATTGATCTTGATGTATGAAAATTAGAAATATTGTCCGTATATCTATTTCATCTGTACCATATGTATATATAATGTGTGTGAATGTGTATTGTTAAATCATTTCAAGCTCTAGCCATTAAGTCAGAATGCCTGGGTTCAAATTCTAGCTCTACCATTTACATTAGTAATGTGACCTCGGACAGGGTACTTTCCTTACCTGTAAAATGGGCATGACAATAGTACCTATGTCATAGCGTTGTTGTGAGGATTAAATGAGATAATACATGTAAATAGTTGGCGATGGCAAACATGCATAGTAAACGTGCCACATAGGAAACATTCAGTATGTTTGCATATGGAGTGGAGTGTTAAATTCCAAACTGTGTTTCACAGCAGCGCTGACAGGTTGCTCTCAGACCCTGAACTGAGCGCTGCAGAAAGCCCTTTGGCTGACAAGAAGGCTCCAGGCAGTGAGCGTGCTGCGGAGAGGGCAGCAGCCGCCCAGCAGAACTCTGAAAGGGCCCGCCTTGCCCCACGGCCGTCATATGTCAACATGCAGGTAATGGTGACAAAATACGATCATTCAAATGTAGGGCCCTTGGGTTGGGGTATGAAGAATTCAGTGAGTATTCAGCAGT